TGCGAAGAATGTGGCTTTGGATTTTTAGTAGCTGCGGTCTCATCTCATCCTGTACTGACTTAATGGTTCAATATAAGCAGGTCATTGGTCGAGCTGAACTTTTGTTTTCTGATGTTCTGAATGCGATTCGGGTTTTGGTGGAGAAAAGATCTGGGAGACAACTTAACAGACGTCAGATTGCTGATTTGGAAAGGATGTTGCAGAAGGAGAAAGAAGAATTTGAGGTATGGATCAGTCAATTGGACTTGTGAATAGTGTTCAGTGATCGCTAATTGACCACTGTGTAGCCTACGTGGTCCTGCAGAAATTATTAATTTATTTTCTCTTGAAACTGCACTTGAATCTTTCACTTGTTTTCTCTTCAGTTGAGCTATCAGTGACCTCTCTGACAAATAGGTCTCTTTAGAATTCCCTATGTCGGTTCGGTTGCGGGTTTGCAACCTTGTCGTGCTTGTGGAAGACAAACTGTGGTGAAATTGTCTTCTCTGCTGTCGATTTGTCTACTAACACTGGTTTGACGCATCAAATAATGTATTGCTTGCTGTTGTTGTTGAACATTTGCATGATTGTTGAACTTAATATGTGTATCATGATCTTAATGACCGGTAAATTAGCAGTTAAACTGAAATTCTCATGGGGCTTAGTATCGATGTTATTTTAAAAGATATTTCTAATTTGTTTTTAATATTAGCAGGAATCTCTCCAGAGAATTCTTATGAAGGAAGTGAAAAAGGGGCAGTCTGTTGATATTTTGGAGATTAATCGATTGAGAAGACAGCTTCTTTTTCAATCTTATGTTTGGGACCATCGTCTAGTATATGCAGCCAGTTTGGATGAAAAGACTCATTGGATTAATGGAGATGTGGCCTCTTCGGAACCTGAGAAACCGTTGGTTTGTAATGATAAGTTCACTGATCTAGATAATCCCTCTGATTCAAGCAAATATCCTAATAACTCTGAATCTGCAAATTTCGAGGCTGGTGGAAATACGGATGAAGAAAAAAGTGTTAGCCAAAACAGTCATGTGGATTCTGTTCATCAAGAATCGGTGGTTGGTTTTGATGCTAATTGTGCAATAGAAAAACCACCTGGTCTTCCTGTTGCAACAAAAAGTTTCTGCGGAACACATCCTGCAGAATCCATATTACAGGGGCGTAGAGCACTATCCGATGGGCATTTCCCGAACATGGAGAGTTTGTCAGATACTCTTGAGGCAGCCTGGACTGGTGAAACAACTTCCGCTGTCGGAATGCTGAAGGGTGGTATGGCGGATACTTTGACAACTGGAGTGGCAGAAAAAGTAAATACTGAAGACCATGGGGATGAAGAGAGTGGAACTAAGATGTCTCAATCTCCTCCTCTATTGTCCTCTAAAGGCTCTGAAAATGTGGAAGACTCTGGGAGCTGGTTAGGTATGCCTTTTATTAGCTTCTATAGGACACTGAACAAAAGCTTTTTACCAAGTGCTCAGAAATTGGATCCACTTGTTGGATATAATCCAGTATATGTTTCTTCATTTCGAGAGTCAGATGCCCGAAGTGGTGCAAGATTGCTTCTGCCAATTGGGGTTAATGATACTGTTATACCAGTGTATGATGATGAGCCCACTAGTATTATATCTTATGCACTAGCATCACATGATTATCATGCTCAACTATCTGACGAGCTTGAGAAATCTAAGGATGCTACTTTGGACTCAAACTTTGCAATTCAGTCACTGGATTCCGGTAATCTGCAGTCCCCTCAATCAATTGATGAAATGGTTTTAGAATCCTACAGAAGTCTTGGATCTATGGATGAGAGTATCTTGTCCTTGTCCGTCAGTCGCAGCTCTTTGGATTTGGATCCACTCTCATACGCAAAGACACTGCATGCTAGAGTTTCTTTTGCAGATGATGGATTGGTAGGGAAAGTGAAGTACACAGTGACTTGTTATTATGCAAAGCGTTTTGAAGCCTTGAGGAGGATATGTTGTCCATCGGAGATGGAGTTCATAAGATCTCTTAGTCGCTGTAAGAAGTGGGGAGCCCAAGGAGGCAAGAGCAATGTTTTCTTTGCTAAAACTTTAGATGAACGATTTATTATCAAGCAAGTCACTAAGACAGAGCTGGAGTCTTTTATGAAATTTGCTCCTGAATATTTCAAATATCTTTCTGAATCAATTAGCTCAGGGAGTCCAACTTGCTTGGCAAAAGTTGTGGGGATCTATCAGGTATATATTATTAGTTGACTACTTCAGATTCCCAAATTTGTGATTAAGATTTATAAAGCTCTTCGTGACAAAACTTGCAACACTAACAATGACCTGATTGCTGTGAATCCAGATTTCTTTTTACGATTATTATTATTTGGACAAAATAAGTAGTGAATTTAGAATTTATTCGTGAGGCAAAGATGAGTTTTGCTTCGGGGAAATAGGGAGATAATATGGATTCCTGATTTATGAGGTGTGAGATTAGTATTTACTTTCTTTATCATCATCTACTAAATCTAAAGGCAGATGAAATAGGGTAGATAATGTGGATTCCTATTAAAAACATGGCCTTTTTGGTGAATGGACATATTTGCTGCTTCAGGGAACAGTCTTTGATTTGCAAATGGTTACTAAAATAACAAGTTCTTCATTATTCCTCTCTGCTATTTTGGCTAGTCACAGGATTGCCCATTGTGGAATTTATTTTTGTATCAGGCCATTTAGTGTATTTATTTCTTGGTTTGTGTGAAGGTGTCGTCAAAGCATCTTAAAGGAGGAAAGGAATCCAAAATGGATGTGCTTGTTATGGAGAACCTTCTATTTGGGAGGAACCTGACGAGGCTTTATGACCTGAAAGGCTCTGCGAGGTCTCGTTACAATCCCGACTCCAGTGGAAGCAACAAAGTCTTGCTGGATCAGAACTTGATTGAAGCAATGCCAACTTCACCTATTTTTGTGGGAAACAAAGCAAAAAGACTTTTGGAACGAGCTGTCTGGAATGACACTGCTTTTCTTGCCGTAAGTTTGTGATGTTCTGTGCTTACATACAATGAATTTACTGTCAACTACTATGCACCTATTGTGGTTGGATCATGTAACAGTTAACTATCTGTCATGGTCCATCACAAGTTTCATATTACAGTTGATTGAAGCACTTCCAACCAGTGAGATTCTAATATCAATTCAGAACAAGTTAGTTTTTATACGGCACTAGGATTTGGTGTGGGAGGAATAGGGAGGGGAAAAAGCACCTTCCTTAACCATAAGGAGTTGATCTAGTGATTGGTGGTCAAGCAGAATCTGTGTGGGGTTTTTTTTTTTTTTTGGGGGGGTGGGTGTTGAGCCTGAACCAACCTTATCATTCCCTCCTCCCCATATCCGACACCCGAAACTAAATAAATAAATAAGATTATGACGGGAATAAAGAGGTTATTTGGGGTTCAGTGTCCCTCCTCCAAACTCTTCTATTACGCATAAAGATGAAGTTGGGGATGTTATTTTGACCTTTGCTTTCCCTCCAAATATAGATTCAGATGTCTGCCTTTCACAAAGGCCTTCATCTTCGTCCCACCTAAGGCTCAGTCAGGGTGTGAAGAAAAAAGGAAAGGAAAGAGCTAGTATGTCAAAAAATTCCACGTTTTTTGGTGTGTGCATTTGGTAAGTATGAAAGTGGTTGGGATCTTTTCCACTAGAAACAATATCCTCCGAAGCAAGTCAGTCCTGCAAAAAGAAAGTGCAGAACTTGAAGAAAAGTGCTAATTCTCCTTCCCTTTCAAAAAATAAAGACATACAAGAAAGTTTACTCCTTTCCTGTTTTGCTTTGATTTTCTCCAGAAATATATATACTTTATTGACATCCAAATGACGACAATTATGCTATTATATATGTTACCATTCTTATAAGCGGCATATAAGTTTACTTTCTAGCAAATTCCTTCTGTGGTCAGGATTAGTGAGGTTTGGACTAACTGAGTTAATTATCTTTGCAGTCAGTTGATGTGATGGATTACTCACTATTGGTCGGGGTTGATGAAGAGAAGCATGAGCTTGTTCTTGGGATTATTGACTTCATGAGACAATATACGTGGGATAAGCACCTGGAGACATGGGTTAAGGCCTCTGGGATCCTTGGTGGACCCAAAAATGAGTCGCCCACTATAATCTCACCTAAGCAGTACAAAAAGAGGTTTCGCAAGGCCATGACCACCTATTTTCTCATGGTCCCAGATCAATGGTCACCACCGTCTATCATTCCCAGTAAATCACAGACTGATTTATGTGAAGAGAACATGCAAGGTGGATGATCTGCCAAGTGATTTTGTACATCTGTTTGTATATTGAGCACATAATTGGGTTTCTTGCATTGGTTATCCCAGGTTCATACATCTCCCATATTTTCGATTCCCATTCTTTTGGAACGCAGTTCCAGTTGCATTCTCCCTAAAGTGGGAGAACACATGATTTCTTGTCAGAGCACTTGGTAAGAGGCTTGTATTTCAGTGAAAGTCTCCATTGCATAGAATTTAGGTGGCTCTCCGTGGAAATATTTTTGTAAATCTTTTTCTTTTAATTACAATTTTCTTTGGGTGTAAAATCCAAGGTATACATGAGTTCCGAAGGATCATTGGCAATTTTATACAATGCATGATTTTGGAGCAGTTTAGCTGGTGTAGTTTCAAGTATATCGCGATTCTTTCCTCTGTGTAATTTTTGTAATTGTGATTTTGAAAGGTGAAACTTTTTACCTATCTTCCTCGTTGGTTTGATCTCCATTTTGACTGTATATTCTTTGAATAGAAAACAGAGTTAATGGAATTAACCTATTAGAAGCTGGACTTCAATTTTTTCTGGTCCAAATGGTTAAAGAAGTAATTGTAGCGCCATTACATATCTCATACTCTACTTAAATTCACAACTGAAGCTTGTAAATCTTTAGTCTTACCCAACCCAGTTTATTTATTCTGTTTAATACGTAGTGAGGTGAAAACCCAAATAGAGAAAAGGTGATTGAAACAAAAACAATGGGTTGAAATGGGAAAATTAATTCTCATTAAGCTTCGACACTGAAATAAGCGATCCCTGTTTTATTGTCAGAAGTATGAAAGTGGTGATATAGCAGGAGAATGAGCTGAGAATTCACAAGAATCTAATTGAACTCAGCAGAATCAGCTATATGAAGCCAGCATCTTTGGAGGAGCTCTATAATTTCTTCATCTCTGCATATTTTACACAAGCACGAGTCATAATAAATAACTTATCCTTTCCCATATGGATTACTACATTATTATTATTATTATTATTATAGTTACGTACCTTGAATTAGAAGAAAACCTTGGCAATTGCTGGCAGAAACGAGGACCTTCATCATATCCTTCACAAGTGATCTCTCCATTCGCGTCTCTATAACAAACTATGCCCGTTGACTGATCTTCAAATACCTATCAAAGTGAATTAATTAGTTAAATTGTTAACTCCATCGTCTGGTATGACTTGGAGACAGGTGAACTCAAGAGGGTTCAGCCGAATCCACTATAAGTAAATACGAAAAAATTAAATTCTTTTTTTGCATCGTTAGAATTTCTGGCTCTAATCCGCCACGGCAGTTGGAGCATACAAAAGATGAGAAGGAAAACCTTAAGCTTTTGGTTGGAAGGTGATCCGATCTGAAGAGGACTAGTGGTATCTCTAGCTAATTTGATTGAAGATTTGTGATTGCTTGAACGCACCAGCACTCTTTCTGAAGGCCTTTCCTTTTTTGTTGAAGATGATTTCCAAACTAGGAAAGGAACCAAAGGAGAGTGTCTCACAGCCATTAATCTTGATGACAAATAAACAAACAAAAATAATAATGGAGGAAGGAAGAGAAGATGAAAATTATAAATGAAATGCTGTTAGAGAAGTACTGGCCATGTTGTATTAGTACTAGTATTAATAAAATAATCAATGATTTGGTGCTAAAGCTTGTTTTGTGTTTATAAGCTAAAGCAGATGATAGGTTATATCGGAAACTAATATTTGGTGTCTTGTCACGATGCATCATCTAATATAGGTTTAAGAGGGGAGTGGGTCCTTTTAACATTATCTTCAAACTATTAATGTTGGTGACTGAGTCATTTGGACGGTTATTACATTTTTTTTTGCTTTCTATTTGATTGATTTGTTGGTGGGTCTCTCATTCTCTCAATGTGATTAGGTATACTATGTTTGTTTCATTTTTCAAGAAAACTAAAATAAGAAAGAAGACTATTTGTACCTTTTTCTTACTTCTTTTCTAAAGTATGTCTAAGTATGGAGCTAAATCAAATACTTTAGAGAAATGACAACTTTTATTCTTTTATTTTTCATTCAATGACTAGTTTGTGCTGTTTATTCCCTAATGAAGCAAGACTAAGTAGTTTCTCACTAATTTGTCTTTTTCTGTTTCAATTTTCTGTGATATGTTTAAATACTACATCTTCTAGTACTTGTTTCCTCATTATTATTTTTCCTTTCCACATTATTAGAAATGCACTTTATCTAATGTCTATCCGTGTACTAGCACTAAATTTTTTTACTAGTTTAATAACTATTCCGTGGTTTTTCTTGTGCCTGACTGATAATTGCAAGGTGAATAGTAAATAGTCGGGTTTCCCTTAAAATAAATTCAATTTTGTTTAATATCTCAATGTAGTTACTTAAAAAAGAAAATGTAGTTACTTGCATCATTTAGTTTCTCAGAAAAGAAAATGAAGTCAAAGCAAAATTTGAGTATGAAACTAATGCACTATTTAACTCTATTATTATTCTTTTGTGGCTTCTCGTGCTTTCAGAGGCCAATACGACTTTACATTAAATCACAAGTGTTGTTCGATGGAATGAGGAAAACGAATTGATTTTACTTATATACATGATGTTCGACCAAAAGCATGTATTTCTGCATATGAATCGCCTCATATTTTGCTCTATTCTTCGTTATTTTAATGTGTAATTTCAATAAGTTGAGCTTAATAATATTATTTATATGTATAGGAGTTAACTGGAAGTGATTTGAAAAGTTTGCATGCGAATTGAAGTCAAAATGGAAGAATTTGGAGGAAGTATAAGTTTGGTGCCCAGGTTGGTACCAAGCACCTACCAAAACGCCAAAAATAGAAGACCAAAAAGTTTGCTATCTTGGTTGGCGCCAGGCGCCAAGCGAGACGCCCAAGGGCGGATTTTGTCCTAATTCAGCTGGGACTTAGTGATTTCAACCCTACACGCCCCCAACATGTATAAAGGGGGTTCTAAACTTATTTTTGGGGGGATCGAACATACATTGAAGGAGAATTAGAGTGGAGGAACACACACCACGCTTGGAGGAAGCTTCTAACTAGTTTTTCTTCTCCTCTCTTCCTTTAATCTCATAGTTTATTAGTTCTAGAGTTGTGGGGTGCTACATGAACATTACCATTTGAAGCTTGAATTATTCTTATTATTTTATTATATTGGTTTATTTATTTAATCTTGTACTTAATTATTTGATTGTTTGATCACCGATTGAATACTATCTACGAATCTAGGATTGAACTCGAGAGAGGGAATTTTAGATTGCAAATAAGATTGAATAGAGAAAGATCTTGAACTCGAGCATCGGGAATGAATTTGCAATTAGGATAGGGATATACCTAATCGCCTTGCTTGGTTACTATACGAAAATTATAAATGCATTCTTGTTAATCCTAATTCCATAGGAATATATGCATTATATTAGCTTGAATAGAGGGGTAATACTAAAGGAGAAGGCTACGAGCAATATTAACCCCGTCAATCAATAAACCAGATAATTTAGGTGGAAGACTCAACAGAATTGTTAGTTAACCCATAGCTCTAGAATAGTTTCTCTCATTGAATTCGTCTCTAATTTCACCAACTTGTTCCTTTAATCTCTTAGTTTGTTACTTTAGATTAGTTTTAGTTAAATATTTACACTTTAGATTCGCTTGAATAGATTAAATGTCTTAGTTTAATTTAGTAAATAGTTGATCACAAGTCCTTGTGGGTACGATATCTGGACTTACAATCCTATATTACTTGTCGACCACGTATACTTGCGTGTGCGTTTGGGAGCAACAAGTTTTTGGCGTCGTTGCCGGGGACTTAGAAATTAACTATTCTACTGGATTGGATTTTTACTTTCTGTCTATTCAAGTTTTTTTTAATCTTAGTTTAATATTTATTATCATTGTTGACATGACATCTTAGAATGAGAATTGGTCATTCTTATTACGGTGATCCTTGTTCTTATTGCGGAGGACCATACTTGTGGCAAAATTGTGCATTTCACTCTAATGTGTGGAATTTTTATAATGTGTGTGGTTTTCAAGGCGGCCATTGGGATGGTTGTCCTAATTCTTATTATCCTTCTCAGAGTTTTTATTAGAATATTTCTAATAATGTTTATGAATTTGATAAGAGCAAAGAAGTGGATGATATGGAAATAGTGGCTCGTATTATGGACATGATGAGGCAAGTAGCCGAGCAACAAGATGAAAATTAAAAGGCTATACAAAGAATTAGTGCAACATTCATGATAATGAAGGCCGGGGCGGACGAAGTGGCTAAAGAGAGCGAGTTCCCACCAGAAGATAATTTTGAAGAAGGAGATATAGTGAGCCCATCTTGACTAGAGGAACAAGCTCAACTGGTAAAATCTCATAAGTTTCTACGTAATGGTCTTTCAAATATGGCAGAACAGTTGATAGACGAAAGAACTGAGCTCAGGCAAGATACTGGCCAACTTATGGAGCAAAAAGATGAATCCCAACTATTTGACCAAATTATTAATGATACCAAGGTTGACGAAGTGCGCAAAAGTTAGGATATCAAAAGTGAAGCGATTATAGAGTTGGAGCGCATTGGACCTCATTCTAACCATTTTTCAACATTGTGCTTGGTTGGTGAAACTAAGTGTGAGGTACCCGCACAAGGGATCATACCTAGGGTAAGTCTGAGTACCCGTGAGCTGCTAATTCTTCGGCTTTTGGCCTACCAGGGAGTCTCTTTTACCCTCTTGTTATTTATAGTGTGCATTGAGGACATTGCACAATTTTAAGTGTGGGGTGAAGAGATTGTCTGAGTGATTTTCTGTGCTATCTTAGCTTAGTTGTAGTACTAGTTCTTAGTGTAGTAGTTTTCGTTATAAAAAAACGAAAAAAAATTAATATCACTTAATTTGATTTAGTAGGTGATATTTAGCTTAAAAAATATATATATATTTATATGTATATCGCCTCATGTTTTACTCGTATTTCGTTGATTTCGGATGTAAAATATATTGATTTATATTAATTCGAGGTGTTTTTATGTGTAGGAATCATCCAAAAGCAATTGGGGGCGAAAGGTGCGAAATTAGAGCCAAAACGGGCGAAAAAGAAAAATTTGGATTTTCAGCGCCACAGGCAGCGCTCCACGCCACCTGTGGTGCCAGTGGCAGAAAATTTAATAAGCTAGCGCTAGGGCCAGCGTGGGGCATTGGGCTGGACGCTGGTGATGGAAAATTTATCCAAGTTTGCCCGGGACAAGGTTATTTCGGTCCTAGACCTATCCAACGCGTATAAAAGCAAGACTAAGCTTATTTTGAGAGGAGAAACGCCACTTTGAAGAGAAATTACACACAGTAAACATTCAGAAGCAAGCATATCTCACATTTCTTTAGTATTTTCAATTATCCAACACTTATGAATTTGTTTGATACTATCATGAGTGGCTAAACCCCATAGTTCTGGGGTTGTGATTTAGCCATGAATATTGTTGTTTAACACTGACTTAACCTTGATTATAATTCACTAATATATGATTGTTTCTTCAGTTCTGTAATTAATTGCTTAATTGTCTGGCCAATAGTTAGGTTGTATTTACTATCTATNGGGGGGGGGGGGGTGGATTTATGGTTAGGATAGGAATATACCTAGTCATCGTGCTTAATTAAATATCATAATTGTCGCACTCCCTTTTTCCTCGCGAAGTCCGGGTTTCGACATTTTGAGGACAACTCATTTCCTTTTGGGAATTGGGTATGAGATTTAAAGAGTCACCGCCTAACAGATTAAGGTACGTTAGGGCACCTAGAACAAATAACTCGTATACTAGCTTACGTTACCAGAGATTGGGTAAGGGCTCGAAATTACCTTGAGGGGAAGGTGTTAGGCACCCCTTAAGGTCCACAATGGTGGGTCCCGGCCAAACTCAATTTAAGCGAATTAGTCTTATAAGCAGATAAATAAACAGACATTACTTTAAAAATAGGGAGTAAAGGGGTCCTAGGTTTTTTAGCCTATAGGATCACTTTTGTGCAATACTTGGTAATCGCGCCCAAATTGGGGTGCTACACATAGCATTAGTGCACAGGTCATCATATCCTTTACTACCCGATTACCCTCCCCTTAATTATTACCTAAGCGTTCTAGCAGCATCGAATACGTATCATATGCGTGCACTACCCGTCCCTTTCCTGTGACCTTGGAGGTGTTTAGGACCTTTATTTAAGGAAGTTCTAGACTCACATATGTTGTTTTAAAAGGAGAAAACTAAGCAACAAACAAAAAGTCAAATAGGACTATCACATAAAGATGCAATAAAGGGCTCATATTTACCTCCACAAACAGACACAAAGCAAGTGCACGCCATTCAGACAAGCAGTTTTATAAGTTTAGGAGTCATATAGGCATGATATCTAAATGAGTACGAATAAAATAGGCAATAGTTTTATTTAAGCGAGGCAGTGAATACTTATCAGTTTGCCTACTGATTTTATCACTTACTGAATTTGAACACGTTTCAAGCAGCAAAAAAATCACAATTGTAATCTCACGTTTTAACTATCCTACTGGTTTGCCTAAGTGATAACCGGGCAGAACTCTATTAGCATGGTACCTAAGCTGTAAACAGTTTTAACAGGCTAATTTTATCTTTAGACCCTATAGACATGTTTTCTAAGTGCTGGGACTGATTACAAGCATTATTTTATGATGCAGAAGA